CCAGACTAGAAGAGAGAATGTGAAAAAATCACTCCTAGCCAACCCACTTGGATTTTATTCATAAAACTTGGAGTTACAAGAAAGATAGTTTGTCCCTCATATAAGATGGGACACATAACTTAAACTCAGATACAATAGACCTTTCACTTTCAAGAAGATAAACCAGAATGACCAAATACCCTTGACTCGAGCACTCTAACATTAGTGAAGCACGAGGTAGATGGGACAATGGAAAGATACAAAACTAGGATGGTGGCTAAAGGGTATAGACAAGTTATGTATGTTGAAAAAAGTCTTTGTATGGGTTAAAATAGTCTTCTAGAGCCTGGTTCTGCAAGTTTCATATGGTTGTACAGTAGATGGGGTTCAAGTAGTGCCAATCAGACACCATTCTCTTTTTGTTAAAAGAGATCAGGAGAAAGTTGCAGTTTTGATAGTTTATGTTGATGACATTATTATCATTGGAAACTAGGACTTTAAGATATAGAAGTTGAAGAATTTCTTGGCTATGTAGTTTGAAGTGAAGGATATAGGAGCCCTGCGTTATTTCCTTGGAATTGAGGAGCATGAAAGGGCATTTTCTTTTCTCAAAGGTATAGGATACAAGAAAACTAGGGGCAAAGCTGGTTGACACACCCATTGATGTTAATTATAGGCTTAGACGCTTAGTGACTGTGATGGAGAAACTATGAAAGATGTTAAATAGTTATAGAGGCTGATAGGAAGATTGCTATATTTGTCAATGACTTGAGTTGATATTTCCTATGTCGTGAAGGTTCTTGGTCAGTTCATGCATACTCCTAAGGCTCCTAATCTTGAAGTTGTAGAAAAAGTTCTCAAGTGGTTAAAAAAAATATCCATGGATACATTTTCTGTTCAAGAAACATGGCCACATGAAGGTTGAAGCCTACATTGGTATTGATTGAGCTGGATTAGTGGATGGTAGAAAGTCTACTAATGGGTACTACACCTTTGTAGGAGGAAATTTAGTGTATGTTTGTTTGCTCTTAATGCATCTTATCTCTTTTCTCTTAATACCACTAAGAAGCATTAAGAGCATTCAATTCCCATTTTACTTTCAGCCTTAATGTACTGCACATCATGTATACTAGCAATAATGCTCATTTTTGTTTTCCAAATGTACCCCCAAAAGATACTCCTTTTACGAATGCTATGATGACCCTATACAACAACAACAACAACAATATAATATTTATAATGAAGTAGCTTTTAGAAATTATTATTCTTTTATTAATTATATATGTTTTATTTAATTATTTTATTAATAATTTGTAATTATTTCTTTTAAATAATTATTAATTAATTAATAAATTTTCAATTCTTTAAAAATATTTAATAATTTATAATTTTATCAATTCCGCTATTTATAAATTCTTTATATTCATTTAATTAATTGTTGATTGGTTTGTTAAATAGTGAAACAAAGTTTCTCATATCACCATCTGGTTGGTGGCTCAGCTGGTACGTTCATGGCTTGGGCATTGCGGAGATGTGGGATCTATTCCCACTGCCACCTTGGGAAGGTTTAGGGGATGGGGGAAAGGGTTATCCCCCATTATGTAGCCCCTAAAACAACAAAAAAAACAGTTAAAATGGTCAGAGGTGAATTGAAAGCTAAGTAGTGGTAATTCTAAAGATCCCCCGGGGGAAAAATAGAGATGTCTCCTACGTTACCTGTAATATGTGGAAGTATCAACATAATTTCATAGTCATTCAGTCTGAATGCTACATGAAGAAGTAGAGTTTATTTGCAAGATCCAGCGTCATGAATACAAGGCCATGGCACATGGAAGCCAACCCAGTTGCAAGATTCGTTTGCTTTGGATAAAAAACTTGTTGCGAGAATTGGGCTTTGTAGTAGGCAGCCCCATGTCACTTTACTATGACAATAAAGCAACCATCAACATAGCAGCCCACCCAGTTATTCATGACAAAACTAAACACATTGAAGTTGACAAGCATTTCATTAGAGAAAAGCTTGAAAGAGGTGTACTAATAAAAACAAAGCTTGAATGAGGTGAAGTATGTACTCCATATTATTATGTCCAAGGAGCAGCTTGCTGATATCCTTACAAAGGGCCTACACTGTTTGTGGCATAATGAACTATGTGACAAGTTGGGCATGATTGATATCTATGACCCAACTTGACGGGGAGTGTTGTAATTATGTTAGTATGTGCTGCAGGGGCACTTTAGTCTTTTTACCTTAAGTTGTACTATTGCCCTAATATAAATAAAAGGCTAGGTTCCACCAGCCTAGATTTTTAAGCAACCCAAAAAAGTGCTGAATGTGATGCTAGCAGTAGCCCCTTTTAGTTGCTTTATTCCATACTTTGCCTTGTGTAATCCAGCTTTGTTCTGATTTTCTTGCACATGTACATTCTGGGTTTTATTTGCTTATTCTTTGAAAACTACTATACTTAGAGTTGTATTTTCCACCTCTATAAAAAAAAGAGTCGTATTTTCCACATTGTTTCAAGAATCTACCACCCCTGGCAGTCACTATTAAATCTAAGGTTTCCTCACAATGATAGGGATTTTTGGTCTCTCATATAGCATGACTTTCTTGATGGGGTGGATGTGGAGATTTTGAAGCTTAGCACATACACACAAGCATGATTTTCCTACTGGCAGAGGTAAGGGTTCTCCCCTGTTGAGTCAATTATTGCCAAGGAGGGACTGAACCCCTGAGTCCATTGTTAATAGCCATGTGCTCTAATCCTCTTATCTACGGGCGCCACTCTATCTCCATTGGATACTAGATCTGTTCCCGGGAGTACCCTCAAAAAGGAACCTTAGCAATCTTGGGTTAAGATGTCAAAGCATGGTTGACTTTTGAGCTGTGTGCTCCAAAGTGACACATGCTGAAACACACACACACACACACACACACACACACCTGTATTCATAAATAAACCACGGGATGATTCTAAAATTTGGTCCTTATAAATACCCAATCCCATTCTGGGCTTTGTTGTTGGAACTTGTGGCTCAGTATGAAAATGATCCATACAATGCTGACCTTGTAAAGGTTCAATCTCATTTTTACCTTCTGATGGAAAAAAAGGGAAACAAGCAATAGATAAGAAGAAAGGAAACTAAAAAAATAAATAACCACACTTCATTTTGAGGGCAAGTATATGGATGAAGATTTGAAAAAAATGGAAAGATTATCTCTTCAAATTGATGCCTTTCAGTGGTCGGTTGTACTGTCATTCATAATGTTACCTTTTTCATTGATTACTTCACGTCTTTCTATTATTGGTCTAATATTCTTTTTTTCACCTGCGTATGACCAGATTCAGTGGAGAGGTTTCATATTTCTTCATTTCTCTTATTCGTGCTAGCTCAAAATATTCTGGAGGCTGAAGGTCCCTGGCTTGGAAATTTTCTTTCTGTAAGTTCACTGGAAAAGTATCTGACTGCAGCATTCTTTGCAATAAAAATTAGAAAGCACTTCCATTATAAAGTACTAATGACTTTCTTTCTTTTTGTGGATGAGGAAGAATGCTCTCCTAGTTTACATATGTGAAATGTCTGTTGACATAATCAAGCATTCATTTGTTGCAAAGTTCAATGAAATAAAACCCATTGCATTCTCAGAGTTTCTGGAAGACCTCTGCAAACAGGTATTATTCTGTAAGGTTATGACTACATTCAGTGTCAAGGTTACAACCTCTTTGCTTCTTTGTACTGGTTGCAATTCTACTGCTAAGAAAACAGAATAAACTAGAATGACCTCAGCACTGTATAACACCGAACTAGCAGAATTTTCTATACTGCTCTTTTTTCCTCCAAAAGAAAGTGCTTTACATCAATCTAAAATTTTGTTGTTGACTTTCTGGTTCATCACTTCACAATTTAATGCAACATTCTATTGATGGATAGATATATAAATATGGTTATGTAGGTGGATAGGGAGTGGACAAACTTGAACTGTTTCATCCTGAATCATCCATTAAATTCACAGTTCACACTGATAATATTGATACATTTATCAGATCCATGATGTTAGCAGTTTCATCTGTAGCACATTTTACATGAATTTCTCTACACGTTGACAATTCTTCCAGTATATTATGGGCAAAACATGTCTGAGAGGAAACTTACCTTTACAATATAGTCTCATTCATTCACCCTATTTTATGTAGTCATTCTATAGAAAGATAAATGCATTACTTAGAGGCAACAAAAGTACAAGAAATGTTGGGAATGGGTGCACCTTTAGAACTGTTTTATCATTTTATTTTACATTCATTTATACATGTATGGTAAGATTATTGTTTGTAAGCATTTATTATGTTCTGATCTAGAATATCACTTAATTAGATGCTGCAAAATAGAAAAAGTATTGCTTCCATTCTTTTAATACATTGTTTTTCTGTTTTAGCATTTCAATCTTAATATCTGTTTTATGACTTATACAATGTTAAACTTGTCAAAACTTTTATATTTGACCTGTCTTAGAAATCAGCAATAATAATCAGAAAAATTGAATGAAATTTAGTAATCAAGAAGGAAGAAAATAGCAAGAATAGAGAAGTGAGAAAGAAGAGGAAGGAGAGCAATAATGGAGGGAGAACACCCCAATCGTGGGGTCCATTGTGAGCCCCACACTATCTTATATGTTAACTTCTGGATTTTTTTATTTGTAATTAACTGATAACTTTATTAATCAAGAAAAAAAATGCTGGAAATGGCCAATCAAACCTTCGATTTAATCAAATGAATGACCTGCAAACAGATTCTAAATAGCAGTACAAAGAAGAAAAATAGAAGTACAAGGAGAGAACAGACATAAAATAACTATTAGAACTGTCGGTCAATAAAAAGATTAGATAGAACAGACATGAAATAACTACTAGAACTGTCTATGAAAACATAACAGCATACTATATAATAAACTTTCTAAGACTTAGGTTTGGAGACCAAGAGATAATTCAATGTGACCATTTCCAGTACCTTTTTCAATAATTCATAACAAGGGAGAGATTGAGGAGGACATCACCCAAAGAATTAAAGTATGATGGGAAAAATGGAGGGGTGCATCTGGACTTTTATGTGATAGGAAAATACCATTTAGATTAAAAGGAAAATTCTATAAAACGGTTTTAAGGCCAACTATGTTGTATGGAGCAGAGTGTTGGGAAGTCAAGAAACAACATGTCTAGAAAATGAATGTATAGAAGTTATTTGTAGGAAACTAGAAAGGACTCGATTAGGAATGGAGTTATTTGTAGGAAACTAGGAGTAGCTTCAATAAGTGATAAAATGAGAGAGAGTAGACTAAGATGGTTTGGGCACTTGTATAGAAGACCATCAACTGTGCCAGTTAGATGAAGTAATTTGTAACACATTGAAGGGGCTAGAAGATCTCATGGTAGACCAAAAAGAACATGGGCAGTAGTAAATGATTTATGCACTAATAATTTAACAGTGAATGTGGCATTGAATAGAACGGATTGGCGAAACAGGATTCATGTAGCCGACCCTATATAGTTGGGATAAGGTGTGGATGATGATAATGATGATGACCCAAAGGTAGATTGCCTGTAATCAATGGACCCAATGAGCAATCACTGATCGTTTTTTGCTGATCCAAGAAAACAAACTTCCTCCAACAAGTGTACCTCCTACTGCTGAGGAATCTGGGTTCCCAAGAGAGCTCTATTCAAAATTGATCTTAATTTCTCTCTTTGGTGAACATGGATTGCATGAATAATATATTGTCATGATGATGTACATACAATGGTTTACCAATTTGATGCTAAGTCAATGGCATATTTCTGAACTATTCTTTCTTCTTTCATCAATATCTGATGTGCTAGTGTGTTAGTCTGAGATAAAATTCTTGAAAATTGGTCTAGACTACCTTCTCCAAGTGGAAAAAGTTAAATTCAGAAGCCTAATTGTTGTATTATGACATGGGGTCTCTACTATGTATTATATGTACAATATGCATGTTTGTTCAAGATGTGCATTTGGTTGGTAGCTGGGGACCTTAAACAAGAGTTTGGATCTCCTACCCACAAGAATCCTACCCACACCTACCCACGCCTCACCACAGCTGTACATTGAGAACATCTCCCATATTTGAATGTTACCATTCATGGGGAGATGTTCCCAATATACAGCTGTAGTATCATGTGGGTAGGATTCTTGTGGGTAGATCTGAATTCCTTAAGCAAGTCCAACTGAGTGCTACCATTGATCAATAGCGATAGCTTTTATGAACTATTAAAAAGAATAAATAAATACAAGTGATTGTCCAGAGAAGTCTATGCTTATACAACGGATAATTTCATCTTATTCTGTTATTCCTTTTTCTTGTTCTTTTTGGTTGAATTCCACCATCTTGGGCTCATCAATTGGATGATCCAAATTCATTTGACTAATGAGATCCCCCTTGCTTACATTGGTTTTCTGACAAGATTCTCTCCCTCACATGTTTATAAACGGTTCTCTCACTTCTTCCCAAATAATAAGACTTGAGAAGATAAAAGCTCTAAAAGAATAATGGGCTGATAAAGGATGCTTTCATTGAGATACTTTTGTACACAAACAGTGATAATTTGTCTTTGATGCTTTCTTCTTTCTCCACTCAGGTTCTGAAATTTACACCAGAGGATAGGAAGAAAAACCTTACTTTTGTTCCTCTGGCACCAGCATGTGTGGTAAGACATTGTTTGTTTTGTTGTTTGGGCAAGCTCATTTTATTTTTCTGTGGTTCCTGTTGTTTATGTTGTCAGTGAAGCATAATATTTAGTGTCTAAATTCTGTTTTTGACCATTTTCAGGTTATCCGGATGTTGACTCCAGTCTATGGAGTTCATCTTCCCTATGCTCCCTTTCTGTGGAGGCTGTTTTGGATCTTTCTCTTGTCAACTACGACTTATATCATGCTTGCAAGCCTCAAGGTGTTGATTGGAATGGGCCTCCAAAGATTCGCCATTTGGTACGTTAATAGGTGCCTGAAAAGAAAACACCACCTCCATTCAGACTAACTTAATATGAGAATAATAAATAAAGCCTGGCTTGGATCTTTGGTGCACCCAGATTAATTCACTAATACTGACCTGACATACCTGACTGAGTCTTCTGGTCAGTAAGGGCTAAGGCTCCGTCAGTTTTGCACCAGAAACCCTCACTGAAAAGTGAAGTAGAAGCTCATCTTGCTTGGACCACTTGCTGGATGCGTACTTACTGTGGTGGGTCCAATCTGCTATCAAATTTTGACTTTAACATAAATCTTCTTTCCAATTCTGCTAAAAGGAAAAGAAAAGAGATGTTAATTCCTACAGCTCTGTCGGTACAACAAAGTTTGTAAATCTTCAAACTCACTAAATCTATTATATAAATTGTCCTATTTCTATGTTTATGGTGTCTTGGCAGAAAGTGTTCAGTCTGTTCTAATTTATGCAAAATGTAAGATAGTTAATTACAAAAGGAACCGGCTGCTAACATTTTTTGAAGAGCTCCAGCTTCTGATTTGATAAATTAGGCTTACATATATCTACATGTCCATTTCGGAATCCATCTCTATATAGGTAATCCAATGTAATTACTAACGGGGTGTATTATATTGGCCGTGTTAATTGGCTAACATATTCAAGAGGAGGTTTTGTGGTGCCTAATGTTTGCTGATGACATAATATCAATTGGTGAAACTAGTTGTGGATTAAATGCAAAATTTGATTTATGGCAAGAAGTTTTAAAATAAGTATAACTGAAACAGAATATATGCAATGTAAATTTAATAATAAAAGGAGTGCAAACCGGAGTACACTCTAGATTGGAGACTAAAGATAATTCAAATAAAAAAGAAGCGATCAAGGAGGATGTCACTCATAGAAGAGATGCAAATGGAAGGGTGCATCTGGAGTTTTATATGATACGTGGATAAGACTTCAGCTTCAAGGAAAATTCTACAAGGTCAATTATATTGTATGGAACAGAATGTTGGACGGTTAATAAACATGTCCAAAAATGGGTATGGCAGAAATGAATGATTACATGGATAAATGGTAAAATCTAGAAAGGACAGAGTTAGAAATGAAGTAATACGAATAAACCGAATAGCTCCAATAGATAATAAAATGTGAAAAAGTAGATTGAGATCATGGTTTTCAAAATCGGACTGGAAAAACCGGGAATCGGTCAGGTGATTGGTTCTGTTTTCCCCAAAAATTGGATTTTCCCTCAAAACTGTTGATTTTGGTCAGTGAATCGCTGAATCGGACAGTTAACCATTCGAATTGTTTTGATCTTTTTTTTTATTTTTTTATTTTTTTGTCAGAACGGGCCGAGCGTTCGATTTGAACGATCGGACTGTTCAACCCCGTAACTGAACCCCTGACCGATTTGGTTTTAAAAACCATGATTGAGATGGTTTGATTACATGCATAATAAAAGACCATCTACTACACTTATAAGGAAAAGTGATTTGTTACAAAGTTATGGTTGTTGGGGACCTCGTCCTCATGTTTGGTTGGTGAATTCTTTATTTTTCTGATGTTGAAGTTTAGATGAATTCGAGTTCTAGTAGTTATTGTAGTTGTGCTCGTAGTAGTGGCACTAGTTGGTTAGTTTGCTGTTGTTTTCGAGTCTTAGTTGTCTGTTTGTATTTTCTTAGTTTTCCGCTTCAATGAAATTATTGTCTTTTTTACGGAAAAAAAAAAGATTTGTTAGAAGTTGAAGGGACAAGGAGAGATAGGGGCAGACCGAAAAGGACTTCGGTGGAATGATGAAACAGGGTTCATGTAGGGCAAAACTTGGACAATGATGGTAATGATGATGATCGATTGCATCTTTGATCCTTCGGATGCATAGTGCTACCGCTTAACATCATGCTTTTTCCAAAATTCAATGTACTGTTACAAAATTTCAATAGACAATACAAAGCACCGTTTGCAATGTTAATATATTCTAATTGTAAATAAAGTGCAATCACGAACTGAAACTTCTCCTTGAATCTTTACATCTACCTTCGCAGTATAGTTCTGCACATTCACAAGATATGATAGTGCTGGATTAGTGATCCCGAATTTGTTTAATTTGACCAGAATTTGATGATCAGTTGTATCTTTTTGTGTCCGTCATTTTTATTTTGAATTGGGGATGGAATTAGATGAGAAAGAAAAGGTCAACGTGGTAGCAAGTGGCAACATCTGTCTCAGGTGGTGTCTTTTCTGTGTCAAGTAAGCATGAAAATTAGTGAATCCTATCCAAAGCAACTGCGACCGAGGGTTGTGGTGCGAATAATTAATGTAAACGGATGTTAGCTGGGAAAAGATTGTGATAGGGCCAACAGATTTTGATTTTTGTTGCAATAGTGATCATGGTGGTGACAATGTAGAAATGTTGTCATGATTGTGGACTCAATATTCACAGTAGCGTTTGTGTCCAAGGATAAGAATGGATGCTGCTAGAAGATGGAGGAGTTCATGAGGTAGTTGTTGGAGGCGGCTGTTGGGTTCCAGGAGGATCTTTGTTTCTTGTCTCGGAATCAAAACCAGCGCTGGAGGGTTCTTGATGTAGAATCAGAGATGATTGTTTCTTCACGGAGGAATCACATAATGCACAAAGGTTGAAAATTGAAATCGATTGAAACCCTACTCATGATCGGTCCCCTTCTTGTAACCCTATATATGTAATGCAACACAAAGTTAAAAAAGTTAAAAAAGATTGAAACCCTACTACCTAGAGGCTAGCTTTGAGCCCAACACAAAGTTAAAAAAAAAAAAAAAGCCTGGGGTTTTGGGCCTAACTCTAGATATTGGACCAAAGGCTTGAGCCTTAATTGGACATGTGGTCAAGCACAATCTTTCCAACCCAACCCTAGCTTGAAGCCTTGAACTAAAAATTGACATATTCTTCAGGTTGGATTAAATGGGCCTATTAGGCTCAATGAAAAAAAAAAAAAAAAGAAGTTGCATGAACCTATTTATCATCACTAATTTAAAACTTTAGATAGGAATTTTGAGTATGCACCATGCATTCATGTTAGGTTTAAGTTTGGTAAGGTCACTAAAAAACTGCTTGTGTATAGTTGGGTTAGGCTCAGATTAGTATAAGGTCAAGTTGGGTTAAGTTGAAGTAGAGCTACCTAGTGGCTAGTGCCAAGCCTAACACCAAAAATAAAAAAGCCCAGGGTTTTTGGCCTAAGCTCAACCTGAGGACAGAAAATCAATGCCCAACCCATGCAAAATGCGGGTTGGGCCAGTTCAATCTTGGGTTTGGCCAAGTTGCACCCTTAGTCCCTTGCATTGTATTGTACATGTTACATATACAGGCCCCTATTTCATGATATAGGTAATTTGAAATTGGGTCATAAAATCTGAAAGGATTTAAGATTCCCATTTGAGCTGAGATGGTCCAAGTTTAGCCTAAGTTTTTTAAATGGAATTTAAAGGGTTTTTAAATTTTCATTAATTTTTTTTTAAATCATTTTTAATGGGTTTTCTATTTTATATAAGTCTACTCTTATGTAGTGTTTATGTTTGATGGATTTTGAATCATAATATTATTAAACTATCAATTAATATTTTTATATAAACTTTTTATTTTTATTAGTACTTATTAAGTTTGATTTTTAAATGGAATTGAAGTATTTTTAATTAACATTGTAAGGAAACCAAATTTCTTAACTTTTATTAACTATTATAAGATAGATGTGTTTTAATTTTTACTAAGTTTTATCAATAATTATTTTTAAGTGGATGTTGGTGAATTTTAAATTAATACTTTTTAGAATAATATTTTTATTTATGTTGTTTTATGTTTTAGTGTTTAACCTCAACTTATTTAAATTATTTGATTTATTAATATTTTATTGTATAATGTTGAATTACCATTCCCTCCTCTCTCTCTCTCCCCCCATATTAATATAATATCCCTCTCATTCACTCTCTCTTAATTGCATGCCTAATTAATCTTAATAATAGTGTGCAACTTTATTAATAACATGATAATCAAAATTGACAATGATTATTTTTTATATTTTTAAAGCAAAAGAAAATAAGAAAAATATAAAAAAGAGAAAACTAAATAGATAGATTTTTCTAAAACGAGAGGCAAGCTGACATGCATGCCCAATTTTAATATATAGATAGAGATTACTAATATATATGTATTAGTAAATGCTAACCATATATTACTATTTGCTAATATACATTTTTATTTATATATAATATTATTTGGCTGGGCTTATGTACAAAAGCCCGAGCCTGAGCCTATGGGCAAGCCCATCTACCTATCCCACAAATGAGGTATATAGCCCAATAATTAACCAGGGCTCCTTTGGGAGGGCTGAGATGAAGAGTCAAATAAACTGGTTTGGTTGCTTTGAGGAGCTCTGACTAAGCTATCTAAAGAAACTGAAGTGGACAGCCCAAAAAATGACTGTTTGACAATCACTTTGGGCTCTTTGATTTTTCTCCATACATAGTTTAAAGGCTATCCATATACTCATATAGGACCCACCTAGAAAGGCCTAGTCAGGTAGTTTGTTTGGGCATTGAATTACATGGTCTTGTACAAATTTTATTTAGGGTCATTTACTCGCAGACCCCTTATAGTTTTATGGATTATACTAAAACCTACGTTATAGTTTGCGTTTTATTAAAACACCCCCTATAGTTCACAACTGATTTGCTTAATCGATCTTCCATTATGTTGAAGTGGAAAATGACAGTTTTGACCTTAGGATCTGTTTGGACCAATACATTGTACCTAAAAAAGGAAATGTCACTCTTGCCCCTAATAAAACATGGGCAACAATTCTTTTCGATCAATTTTATTCTCTAGTTGAAGAAGGAAGACATATTGTTGCAAATTAACTAATAACCTGGTATGCAATGTTCTTCTCCCTTCTTAATTTTATAGAAATCATTGTGTGATAGATCTGAAAATCAAACAATGGTTCATTTTAAAAGCTCAATATGATGTATTAGGGATTTTGGAATAAAATAGCATAGCCCGTGTGCTTGAACAGTTTTCACTTAGGCTATGTTTGGTTTGTAAAGGTTTCCCTACCTTTCCCTTTCTTCCCCTACTTTTTCCTTCAAACCAAACACAGCATTAGTATAGGTGGTCAATATACCATTTTCAGACAACAATATAAAAGATTTTTGATAGAAGGTCGATTAAGTAAATTGGTTGCAAACTATAAAGAGAATTTTAGTAAAACATAAACTATAAGGTAGGTTTTAGTAAATCCATAAAACTATAGGGTGTGTTTTAGTAAATAACCCATTTATTTATGAATTTACTTTTGCTTGGACACTGTTAGGGCTAAAACAAAAAATCAAGGCCTTTGATCTATTACAATGACTCCAGTCCACAAAGATGTCTCTTCATCTAATTCAAGGTGGGGCCATAGCAATACACCAAAGGTGTTGATTTCGTTGTTTTAGCACAACACTGCAAAGTAATTAAAAGTGGTTTGTTTATTTATAACAAATCT